AAAATACGAGGATAGCCCTGCCTCGGAGTATGGTGGAGGCTCCTCCTTTGGAGGCTTTTAAATAGAGGCAGGCTGGCCATCTGTCGGGAGGGTTTTGATTGTGCTTTTCTGGCTGTTCAAGGTTCTCACTTGGTCCAACTTACTCCACAGACGCAACCACCGATTCGCTTTCCCTGGCAATGTAGCGGCAGATGTTTTCGTGGGTTTCTGGAAGAGAAGCATGTCCAAGAATTGGATTAGTCATGAACGGATGGACAGAAGGCGAAGGGAATGAAGGGTGGCGATCATTCAAAGTCCCATTTCATATATTGATCATGTATATATTGATCTCTCATATATGTCAAGGGCAGGTTCAGTGTCCAATACTATGGATTTTCCAGCTGGAAAATTACAAGAAAGGAGATTCCATCTGAACATGATTATGGATTACTGATCAATGATCATTGATCATTGATCATTTATCACTGGTCACTGATCACTGATCACTGGTCACTGATTATGGTTTACTGATCACTGATATTTGATCATTGATCACTGATAATTGATCACTGATCACTGATCACTGATAATTGATCATTGATCACTGATAATTGATCACTGATCAATGATCACCGATCACTGATCACTGATCATTGATCATTGATCACTGATCACCGATCACTGATCAATGATCATTGATCACACTGATCACTGATCATGGATTACTGATCACTGATAATTGATAATTGATCACTGGTCACTGGTCACTGGTCACTGATCATTGATCATTGATTATTGATCAGTGATCAGTAATCCATAATCATTGTGATCACTGGTCACTGATTATGGATTACTGATCACTGATAACTGATAACTGATAATTGATCATTGATCACTGGTCACTGATTATGGATTACTGATCACTGATATTTGATCATTGATCATTATTGTGAAAGCCATCACGATCCCATCAGGACAAGGGATGGATTATACTCAGCCACGATCATTACGAATTATTATTATATTACACTGATCACTGATCATGGATTACTGATCACTGATAATTGATAATTGATAATTGATCACTGATAATTGATAATTGATCACTGATCACTGATCACTGATCACGGATTACTGATAACTGATCACTAATTGATCACTGATCACTGGTCACTGGTCATTGATCAATGATCATTGATCACACAGGGGACTGATCACTGATCATTGATCACTGATCACTGATAATTGATTATTGATCATTGATCATTATTGTGAAAGCCATCACAATCCCATCATGACAAGGGACGGATTATACTCAGCCACGATCATTACGAATTATTATTATATTAATTGTTATGATGTTTGGTAATTCCTTATTGATTCATAATTATTATTATATTAATTGTGATGATATTTGAAAGCGTCTCACGTTAAAAGCATGACCGCGCCATTTACAAGATACCAGTATGCAAACATTTAAAAAAGAACGAAATGTAATAGTATCGAAGTGCGACGCAAACTCACGAATGCTTCCGAATACGAATCCTCCGCCGTGGAAGTAAAGGAGGCCCTTCCTTGGGTGAGTGGAGGGCGCTTTGGGCTGGTAAATCCGGGCGGGGACGTGCTTGAACTTGACGTCCTTCTGGAAGAGCGCAGCGTCCCTCGGGCGCCTCCATCCACTCCTCACCAACCGGACAAACCGGATCTGGGAGCAAATGTGCAGGTTCTCCAAAATCCTTCCCTTTGAGAGAGAAAGTCAAGAGCGTCCATGCCTATTTATCTACTCACATTTGCATGTTTTTGAACTGCTAGGTTGGCAGAAGCTGGGGCTAACAGCGGGAGCTCATGCGGCTCCCCGGATTCAAACCTGCGACCTTTCGGTCAGCAAATTCAGCAGGAGAGGATGGAGAAGAAGGGGGAAGTGAAGGAGAAGAAGAAAGAGGAGGAGGAGGGAGGAGAAGAAGGAGGAGGAGGGAGAGGAAGGAGGAGGAGAGAGAAAGAAGAAGAAGGGAAAGGAGGAGAGAAAGAAGGAGGAGGAGAGGAAGGGGAGAGGAAGAAGAAGGAATGGAGGAGAGACTGAAGGAGAAGAACGAGGAGGAGGAGAAGGGAAGAAGAAAGGAAAAGAGGAGGAGGAGGAGGGGAAAAGGAAGGAGAGAAGGAGAAAGAGGAGGGGGAGAAAAAGGAGGAGGAGGAAGGAAGAAGAAGAAGGAGAAGGAGAAGAGGAGGAGGAAAGGAGAAGGAGGAGGAGGAGGGAGAAGGGAAGAAGGAGAAGAAGGAGGGAGAGAGAAAGAAGAAAGAGGAGGAGGAGGGGAGGGGAAGAGGAGAGGAAGAAGAAGAGGAGAAGGAAGAGGAAGAAGAAAAGAAAGGAGGAGAGGAAGGGGAGAGGAAGAAGAAGAGAGTGGAAGAGGAGGAAGGAGAAGAAGAGGAGGAGGAGGGAAGAAGAAAGGAAAAGAGGAGGAGGAGGAGGGGAGAAGAAGGAAGGAGAGAAGGGAGAAGAAAGAAAGAGGAGGAGAAGGAGGAGAAGGGGAAGGAAGAAGGAAGGAAGGGGAGAAGGGAGGGGAGAAGAGGAGGAGGAGGGGAGAGGAAGAAGAAGGAAGGGAGAAAAGGAAGGAGATAAGGAAAGAAAAGGGGAGGGGAGGGGGAGGGAAGGAAAGGAGAAAAGGAAGGAAAAAGGAGAAGGAGGAGGAAGAAGAAGAAGGGAAAGGAGGAGAGGGAGGGGGAGGAGGGAGGGGAGAGAGAAGAAGAAGGAGGAGGAGGGGAAAAGGAGGAGGAGGAGAAGGAAGAAAAAGAAAGGGAGAAAGAGGAGGAAGGGAGAAGAAGGAAGGAGAAGGAAGAAAGAGGGAGAAAAGGAGGAGGAGGGAGAGGAAGAAGGAAGGGGAGAAGAAGGAGGAGGAGGAGGAGGAGAGGAGGGAAGAAGGAGAAGAAGAAGGAGGAGGAGAGAAGGAGGAAGGAAGGGAGAAGAAGGAGGAGAGAAGGAGAAGAAGAAAGAGGAGGAGGGGGGAGAAAAAGAAGGAGAGAGAGAAGAAAGGAAAGGAGAGGAGGAGGAGAGAGAGAAGGGAGAGGAAGAAGAAGAAGGAGTGGAGGGGGAAGGAGAAGAAGTAGGAGGAGGAGGGAAGAAGAAGGGAAAAGAGAAGGAGGGGAGAAGAAGGAAGGAGAGAAGGAGAAGAAGAAAGAGGAGGAGGGGGGAGAAAAAGGAGGAGGGAGAGGAAGGAGAAGGAGGAGAAGGAGGGAGGAAGAGTGGAGAAGGAGGAGGGGAGAAGGAGAAGAAGGAGGAGAAGGGGGCAGGAAGAAAGGGAAAGAGAGGAGGAGAGAGGAAGGAGAAGGAAGGGAGAAGAAAAGGGAGAGAAGGAGAAGAAGAAAGAGGAGGAGGAGGGGAGAAAGAAGGGGGAGGAGAGAAGGAGGAGTGGAGAAGGAGGAGGGAGAAGGAGGAGGAGGAGGGGGAGGAGGAGGAGGAGGGAGAAGGAGGAGGGAGAAGGGAGGAGGGGAAGGGAGAGGAGGAGGAGGAGAAGGGGGAGAGAAGGAGGAGAAGGAGAGAGGAAGGAGAAGAAGGGAAGGAGAAGAGGAAGGAGGAGGAGAGGAGAGGAGAAGAAAGGAAAGGAGCCGATAAGAAGAGAGGAGAAGAGAGGAAGAGAAAGGAAAGAGGAAGAGGAGGGGAGAAGAAGGAAGGAGAGAAGGAAGAAAGAGAGGAAGGGTGGAAAAGGAGGAGGGAGAGGAAGAAGGAGAAGGAGAAGGAGTGGAGAAGGAGGAGGGGAGAAGGAGGAGGGGAGAAGGAGAGAGGAGGAGAGGGAGAGGAAGGAGGAGAAGGAGAAGAGAAGAAGGGAAAGGAGAAGAGGAAGGAGGAGGAGAGGAAGGGGAGAGGAAGAAGAAGTAGGAGTGGAAGAGGGGGGAAGGAGAAGAAGTAGGAGAAGGGAAGAAGAAAGGAAAAGAGGAGAAGGAGGAGGAGGGGAGAAGAAGGAAGGAGAGAAGGAGAAGAAGAAAGAGGAGGAGGGGGGAGAAAAAGGAGGAGGGAGAGGAAGGAGAAGGAGGAGAAGGAGGGAGGAAGAGTGGAGAAGGAGGAGAGGAGAGGAAGAGAAGGGAAAGGAGGAGGAAGGGGAGAGGAGGAAGAAGAAGGAGGAGGAGGAGGGGAAGGAGAAGAAGGAGAAGGGAAGAAGAAAGGAAAGAGGAGGAGGGGAGAAGAAGGAAGGAGAGAAAGAGAAGAAGAAAGATGAGGAGGAGCGGGAGGAGGAGGAGGAGGGAGAGGAAGAAGAAGGGGAAGGAGGAGGAGGGAAAAGAAGGAGGAGCGGAAGAACGCATTCGACAATACATTCAGTTGTATCAACTCACCAGGACCGACGTCCCGACCCAAACGGCGTGGATGATCCGCAGCTTGACCGGCTGTTCCAACCTGGGCGGGATGTCCGAATTGCAGGCGTCGAAGTAGATGCTTCCCATGACCAGCAGAATCGCCCCGGCGAGGATGGCCGCCAACACCAGAATCAGCAACGCAGAGAGGAACCCCATTCCGGCTGAGTTGTGTCAGGATCCAAGAGCTCTGCCGGTATGCAGGCAGAGGTCAACCAAGACACACACCCTGCTTGTGTCAACTATTTACTTAAAGCAGCACTACTCAAGGTCTAAACGTAAAGGTAGCTCATTGCCGCAGCATCCAAAGCAAAGTCCAACTAACAAGGAGAGGAACCCCATTGCGAACGGGCTGTGTCAGGATCCAAGGGTTCTGCCGGTGCACAGGCAGAGGTCAACCAAAACACACACCCAGCTTGTATCAACTATTTACTTAAATCAGCACTACTCAAGGTCTAAGCGTAAAGGTAGCTCATTGCCGCAGCATCCAAAACAAAGTCCAACTAACAAGGAGAGGAACCCCATTGCGACCGGGCTGTGTCAGGATCCAAGGACTCTGCCGGTATGCAGGCAGAGGTCAACCAAGACACACACTCAGCTTGTGTCAACTATTTACTTAAAGCAGCACTACGCAAGGTCTAAACGTAAAGGTAGCTCATTGCCGCAGATCCAAAGCAACGTCTAACTAACAAGGAGCACATTAGAATTGAAAGTAACCCCATTAAGGCCGGGTTGTGTCAGGATCCAAGGACTCTGCCGGTACTCAAGCAGAGGTTAACCAAGTCTAACTAACAAGGAGCACACTACAAACGGAGAGGAATCCCATTGCAACCAGGTTGTGTCAGGATCCAAGGGCTCTGCCGGTACTCAGGCAGAGGTTAACCAAGTCTAACTGACAAGAAGCACACTACAAATGGAGAGGAACCCCATTGCGACCGGGTTGTTTCAGGATCCAAGGGCTCTGCCAGTACTCAGGCAGAGGTTAACCAAGTCTAACTGACAAGAAGTACACTACAAACAGAGAGGAACCCCATTGCAACCGGGTTGTGCCAGGATCCAAGGACCCTGCCAGTACTCAGGCAGAGGTTAACCAAGTCTAACTAACAAGAAGCACACTACAAACGGAGAGGAACCCCATTACGACCGGGTTGTGTCAGAATCCAAGGGCTCTGCTGGTACTCAGGCAGACGTTAACCAAGTCTAACTAACAAGGAGCACACTACAAACGGAGAGGAACCCCATTACGACCAGGTTGTGTCAGGATCCAAGGGCTCTGCCGGTACGCAGGCAGAGGTCAACCAAGACACACACCCGGCTTGTGTCAAGTATTTACTTAAAGCAGCACTACTCATGGGGCCACTGTCAAGGTCAAAACGTAAAGCTAGCTCATTGCCGCAGCACACAAAGCAACGTCTAACTAACAAGGAGCACACTACAAATGGAGAGTAACCCCATTAAGGCCGGGTTGTGTCAGGATCCAAGGACTCTGCCGGTACTCAGGCAGAGGTTAACGAAGTCTAACTGACAAGAAGTACACTACAAATGGAGAGGAACCCCATTGCGACTGGGTTGTGTCTGGAACCAAGGGCTCTGCCGGTACTCAGACAGAGGTTAACCAAGTTTAACTAACAAGGAGCACACTACAAATGGAGAGGAACCTCATTGCAACCAGGTTGTGTCAGGATCCAAGGGCTCTGTCGGTACTCAGGCAGAGGTTAACCAAGTCTAACTAACAAGAAGCACACTACAAATTGAGAGGAACCCCAGTACAACCGGGTTGTTTCAGGATCCAAGGGCTCTGCCTGTACTCAGGCAGAGGTTAACCAAGTCTCACTAACAAGAAGCACACTACAAACGGAGAGGAACCCAATCGTGACTGGGTTGTGTCAGGATCCAAGGGCTCTGCCGGTACTCAGGCAGAGGTTAACCAAGTCTAACTAACAAGAAGGACACTACAAATGGAGAGGAACCCCATTGCAACCGGGTTGTGTCAGGATCCAAGGGCTCTGCCAGTACTCTTCTTGGTTCAATATTCCATAAGGTACACAATTTACAAGAGTTGTGTACTAAGAGCTCTGCCGGTATGCAGGCAGAGGTCAACCAAGACACACACCCAGGTCTGGAATGGAAACACCACCAGTATTCACAACTAAATTTAGCAAATACTTTTCTCCCAAAGAGTAGATTACAGCAGCAGGCCCTCCACCCTTACTCACTCCCTCCCTCCTCCCTTACCCATTGATTACTCTGCCCTTCAGAACTAGGAGGAAGACTCTTCCATACCTTCTGTAGCATCACCACCCTACCGGTCATGATCCTGCCAAGCCTTCTGTGTACCAACTGCTAGGCATTCCACTACCAACCACCATCATAATCTGCTGGCCATGACAGGTTGGGTTTCGGCTTCCTGCTTCCTACCCAGGCGACTGCGGAATCCGGTTTGGCAACACCGGCGAGGAGGACGTCTCCACAATCTCCTCCCAAACAAACGGGGAGGGCTCGAGCACGCATTTCTGGAACTGGTTTGGCCACTTCTGGTCATGGATCCTAAAGGAGTCTCCTCGAAATTCGTTTCGGAAACTTCTCCTGAGCAGAAGTCCTTTCAGAACCATCTTGGAAAATTCTTGGAGACGTCCCAGAAGAAGACCGGATACCGTCTTGGCTCTTTCTGAGCCAATTGAAGGAGGAACCTGGCACACAGACCCCCCACCCCCACCCCACAAGACCCACTCAACATCCTGGTGCAGTTTGAGGGAGGATGGACCATGGATGATGGGACTTGCAGTACTTGATCTCACTTCCTTAGAGCACTGTGGCCCACACCAGTGACGGATCAGGACCAAACTTGGCACACAGAGGCCCAATGGCCCATTTTAAAACCTGGTGTGGTTCAGGGCCGGATGGGCCACTAATGATGGGATTTGTAGTACCTTCACCCGATTCACTTCCCACAGAATATTGTAGCCCCTACAAATCACAGACCAGGCCCAAACTTGGCACACAGAGTACTCATGGCCCACTCTACATCCTGATGCAGTTCTAAGGGGATGGGCCATGGATGATGGGACTTGCAGTACCTTTACTCACTTACTGAAACCACTGCGACCCTCATCCAATGACTGATCAAGACCAAACTTGGCTCACAGAGCCCCCATGACCCACTCTACATCCTGATGCAGTTTGGAGGAGGCAAATCCCATGGATGATGGGACTTGCACTACATCCTGATGCAGTTCTAAGGGGGATGGACCATGGATGATGGGACTTGCAGTACCTTTACTCACCTACTGAAACCACTGCCACCCTCATCCAATGACTGATAAAGACCAAACTTGGCACACAGATCCCCCATGACCCACTCTACATCCTGATGCAGTTTGGAGGAGGGTGGACCATGGATGATGGGACTTGCAGTACCTTCACTCAATTACTGAAACCACTGCAACCCTCATCCAATGACTGATCAAGACCAAACTTGGCACACAGAGCCCCCATGACCCACTCTACATCCTGCTGCAGTTTGGAAAGTTCTGAGAGAAGATCCAACCAGTCCATACTTCAGGAAAGAAAGCCCGACTGCTCATTGGAGGGAAGGATAGTAGAGGCCAAGATGAAGTCCTTTGGCCACATCATGAGGAGACAGGAAAGCTTGGAGAAGGGAATGATGCTGGGGAAAGTGGAAGGAAAGGGGAAGAGGGGCCAACCAAGGGCAAGGTGGGTGGGTGGGTGGTATCCTTGAAGGGTGTCATATGGTCTGCAGCTGATGGTGGTTGGTGATGGAAGGGTTAATGTATTAGTTCTAGAGGGGTTGGTAATGGGTGAAAGCAATTAGGGGTGGAGGTGTGCAGGAGATGGGTTACAGCTGGGCAGGGGCGGCTTGTCCATTACGTGAAGTAAGGGGTCGCAGAACACTTTTTTTTGCCAGGGGCGCAGAGGCGCCTCTGTAAATGCCCCTCGACCGCCACTTGAGGAGCGCCCCCTCAGCTCACAACAGCCCTAGCAGTCCGGGGGGAGCCTCGGCTTTCTTGCCTCGCTGCCGGGTGATCCTCTTCCCAAAGGGTCTCGCCTTGTCCCTCTCGTTCCTGCTCCACCCGGTGCGCGAGCAGACCCGGCGCTCAATCGTTCTCCGCGTTCGATCCCTTCCCCATGACCGGCTCCCTTTCCCGATCCCCCGGCGCTCCACCCGCCTCCTCTCCTCTCCCCAATCCACGGGTGGGCCAAGGGGCGGAGCCGCCGCGCCTGGCCCACTTCGGGTCCGGAGGCGTGTCTGAAGACCCTAGCGTGCACACCAAAAGTCGCCTCTTCTCCTGACTTTCTCTTCAGCCATTGGGACCAAGAGAGAGAGAGAGAGAGAGAGCCCCTCCGGCTGGAGGTATCTCCCACCTCCCCTCCCTCCTTTGTTTTTGCGCCTACCTTCAGGAAAGGTAGGTATAACGAAATTAAGGGATATCTGGGCAGGGGGGAACAAAGAATCCCACCACTGCCACCAGTATAACGAAATTAAGGCTGACCATAAGTTGAATATAACAATGACCGATGTTCTTGTTAGGTATGACTGCCACCACCTCAGAATTATTGGTCTGAGGAACCAAAAGGTGTGAATGTGTTGTAGGTAAGGTGTGTTTGAGCTCTTGRTTCTTCTATTGYTTCTTCACTGGATGACTGGACTTTAAAAGGGTTTGACAGACTTAGTTCTGAGGAGATGGRTAGACTGAGGCATAYRCCAGTTAAAAGTGAACTAWGAAAGRTTTAYTDAWCTTTAAACARAYAKCKACTCATRTAAWGAGCGGTACAGRAGCRTAATTCAGTWGTAGAGACTTAGTTACTTAAACAAGTAGTTCCACTGACAGTAAAGCTTTTATCAACTGTGAGATTCCTTAAACACACTGCTCTATCTTTAGACACAGTATCACTTGAGAACAGACTCCTGTCTGTCTTCCCCACAGGGCTAATAAGCTCTCTTATACTTTTCCTCAGTATAATCAGACAAATCTTTCTGTTACTGATCCTCTCAATACAGTAACCTTAGTCCTTGTCTGCTGCTTATTCCCTAATCTTAAGGCTCACTTTAAAAACTTTCTTTCCTTGTCAGATTCCTACTGTAGCTTCCTATCTTAAAATCTCATCCTCCTGTGTCTCATGTCAAGACACTTCTCTCTCTTCTGTCAAAAGCTGACAGCCTTTTTCCCTCTCTCAACCGACTCCTCCCCTAATTGCTCCAACCAATCAGGAGTCGGCTTGACTCCTCCTCCTGTCTCTGCCTGCCTTCCAAGATGACAGCTACTGTCATGCAGGCTTCGGCCTGGTCGTCTTAGATTTCACTACAGTGGGCATCTCCACCTCTCTCTCTCTCTCTCTCTTGGTCCCAATGGCTGAGGAGAAAGTCAGGAGAGAAGGTGACTTTTGGTGCACACGCCGGGGTCTTCAGGCACGGCTCCGGACCCAAAGCGGGCCAGGCAAGGGAGCAAGTGCGGCAAGTGTAGTTACTGGGATGTATAGTTCACCTACAATCAAAGAGCACCTACAATCAAAAACTCCACCAATGATGGAATTGAACCAAATATGGCACACAGAACTCCCACAACAAACAGAAAATATATATCAATGATTGGTTTGGGGGGGGGGCACCAAAATACTGTTTGCTTACCGTTGAAAATTACCTAGGGCTGCCTCTGCAGCT